GCAGCATTATTTACAATAGTCAAATTATGAAAGTAGCCCAAGTACCCATCGAGAGATGAATGGATAAAGAAAATGTGGTATATATATATATATATATATATATATATATATATATACAAAAAGGAATATTACTCAGCCATAAGAAAAAAAGGAGAGAGAGAGCTTAACATTTGTGACAACATGGATGGGCCTAGAGAGTATTATGCTAAGTGAAATAAGTCTGAGAAAGACAAATACCATATGATTTCACTTATATGTGGAATCTAAAAAAACAAAACAGAAACAAACAAAAAGCAGAAACAGACCCATAAATTTGAAGAACAAACTGATGGTTGCCAGAGGGGATGGTGGTGGCGGATTAGCAAAATGGGAGAAGGGATATAGAGAAAAAAAAAAAATCACTGCATTAAGAAATTTTATATGCACACGTACATATATGTGTATATAGAGAACCCTCATTAACAGTTCAAAAATTAAGCACAGTCACCAAACTATGACCAACTTCTTGAGGGTAAAGATTGTGTCTTAATTCTGTGTTTATCAACTAGCTTTGAGTAGGATGGTAAATAATTGATAGCTGATCTTAATCTTAACTCTTTGTTCTTTTCAAGGTAATTCTTATGTAAATTTTAGAAACTGTTTCATTCTATGGAGTCAGATTCCCCCTCCACCCGCTTGATTTGGCTCTTTCTGTATCTTAAAGAGGTTTATTGTACATATAACATGAATCCAATTAATAAAATATTTGCTGATTATCTACTGAGTGCCAGACATTATTAGAGGCTTGGTTGTAATAGTGAGAAGACACAAAGTCCATGTCTTCCAGTGCTTCCAACTGTTTTATAAATACTCATTACAGTACTTGTGTGACACCCCCATTGGATCACATGCCCAAAGGCAAGAAGGTGTTAGGAGACTTTTGGGAGGCTGTTCTTAAAGCCAGAAACCTTAAGAGAGGACTCTGATGAGCCCAGCAGTGTTTGATGGAAGAAACATTCACATATCTATAACAACCCAAAGTGTGAAACATTTGTCTTAAAACAAAAAAGAAGATCTAGCTCTCCTTCTACTCACCTATCAAGAGGCAGTAAGTTAGTATTGGGACCACTCAGGTAGAAATTTGAACACGAAGGCTCCAGTGGGAGAGATACGCAGCAGTGGGAAATGTATTGCCATATTCTAGAGTTCGCTTCAATTCCCACAGCTCAAAAATTGTGAGGGCTGGGAATCAGCCAGTTTGGGAGACCACCAACATAATATTCGACATATCCAAGTAAAACGAACATCTTTCCCCTCTGTGTTATGACAATGTCTTCAAATGGTTGCTTAAACCATCCCAATTTAGGAGCATTACATGATCTATTTATATCACTATTACAACATATTCTTTCACAATGTTTTTAAAATGATTCTTAGGTGATCTTCCTTTGCTGAAAAGAGGTAATTAACAGATGAACACTCATTAATCATATGTTCATTAACTATTTTTACTATTAGTTTTACTATTTTGAGTTCTGACAGGAAGTTCTGAGTTCCATACAAAAGTTCTGTATTTCTTCTGCACATCTTAACTCCTCAAGAACTACCATATGTTTACAGATAAAATCTCAGTAGCTCAAATAAATTTCAAACTGCATTTCTCTTTTTCTACCAACTCCTTACTGTCTTATTTCCAATTTGTGATTTGCTTAGTTTAAAAAGTACCTTTCAACTCTTTCACTTATTAGGTAGGCTTTATTATTCTATTAATTGGAGTTATTCTATTAGAAAGTGTGTAAGTCTTTTGGATTCTAAATCCATTGTGAAAACTTCTGGTGACTCTCTATTAGTTTGCTACAATTTCCTTTATAATCCATTGCTCTAATATTTATAAGTCTACTTGTTAACTGATTCTAAGGTCCATTTCTCAGTTAAAAAGAAAAATGGTTTATCTGGGTTTTTATTTTTTGGCAATGAATTCATATTGCAATTACTTAGCACCTTGTTATCCTCTAGGCATCATAGATTGCTTTTTAATGAAATGCATCATAATCTTCTTAGATATGGACTCTGGGCTCCAGAATTCCCAGGTCACTCCATATTTCCTATTATGCACTTAAGTTTTTCTACCCCAGGATTTCTACCCCAGGAATCTGGCAAAATAACTACTAATGATTGCTAAGTTTTAGTCTCTACTTGGAAGTGTTACAAGATAAATTTAAAACAAACTCCCTTAAATGAGTAACCATTCTGTTGAACACAAATTTCTATATCTTCATTAATTTTAATTAAATCTTCAATTATGATATGGAGATAATACCATAGCATACTTTTAAAAAAGATTTATTTGAGAGAGAGAGGGAGGGCATGTGTGTGCACATGAGAGTATGTGCGTGGTGGGGGAGGGGCAGAGAGAGGGAGAGAGAATCTCATGCAGACTCCCTGCTGAGTGCAGAGCCCACCACAGGGCTCATCTTAGGATTCTGAGAGCATGACCTGAGCCAAAATCAAGAGTTAGCTACTTAACTGACTGAGCCACCCAGGCACCCTAAATATCATAACATACTTTAAATCTTTTTTGTTTCTATTTAGTATTGCTTTGACAACCCTTTTAATTAGTACATTTAAAATTTTGCTCTGTTTCTCTTAATGCATTTACAAAATATTCTACTAGTGTCTTGTGAGTTCTTAGCTAGGTAGAGCTCATTCTGTGCTTTAGCTGTCTTGAGTGCTCTTGAATGCTTGAGAATGCTACTTCTTGAATATCATGTCTGTGGAAGTTTCAAGTCCTTTTTTTTTTTTAACATTTTATTTGGGGCGACTGGGTGGCTTAGTCGTTAAGCATCTGCCTTTGGCTCAGGTCATGATCCCAGGGTCCTGGGATCGAGCCCCGCATCGGGCTCCCTGCATTGGGCTCCCTGCATCGGTCTCCCTGCTTGGTGGGAAGCCTGCTTCTCCCTCTCCCACTCCCCCTGCCTGTGTTCCCTCTCTCGCTGTGTCTCTGTCAAATAAATAAATACAATCTTTATGTTATTTAGTTATTTGAGAGAAAGAGAGAGAGCAAAAGAGAGAGAGCACGAGCAGGGGGAGTGACAAAGGGAGAGGCAGACTCCCTGCTGAGCAAGGAGCCTGACACAGGACCCTGGGATCATGACCTGAGCTGAAGGCAGATGCTTAACCAACTAAGCCACCCAGGCACCTGGAAGTCCCAAATCTTAAAAACATTCACCATGCAAATGGGTCAAATTTCTCCTCATGCTGACCCTCAACAAGAATGTCCTTGAGTTTATTTTATACTCATAATTAGCAGGGTGAAAAGTGGGGTCTAGAAGACTGAGATGGAATCAAGAACTCTCTAATGCTATAAGCCAGCTTCTGATGTTCCAAGAACTCATACCACCTACTAACAGGTAACTGATAGTTTATAACTAGTTTCATTTTTCCTATGTTTGGAAACAAGGACCTCATGTCTTTCAGTTAGATAATAATTAACTAGGAAATAGGGGCGCCTGGGTGGCTCAGTAGGTTAAATGTCCCACTCCTGATTTTGGTTCAGGTCATGATCTCGGGGCTGGGCATGGAGCCTGCTTAAGATTCTCTCTCTTATCTGTAGTAAGATACACTGGCTGGCATCCAAACCCCTTAAAATTTGTCTAAACAAACAAACAAACAAAAGCAAAGGAAACAGATCCTTTACATTAGAGAGACTTACTCTCTCACCACCAGAAAAACTAGAGCAGTTAGACAAAATTAAACAATATATTGATTATTCTGCCCAAGACAGGTGTGGATAGCTCTTCATTCTTCCACTAGTCTATTTCAGTAAGTCAAAGGTAGGAAGGCCAATATGTAGAACAGATAATGAAGGTGAACTGCTTTGCCTGGCTGAAGCAGAGGTGGGGAGTCAGAAGGAAAACAGCTATTCCCATCTACTACATTATTGTCCTTAAGGTGCTCTGAGGAACCTAGTTTGAGAAATCACTAGCCTATAGACAAGGATATCTGAGCAATAATAGAAAGCAATCCTTCTTGGTATCTAACTACTTTTTAAGAGCCTCTTCCAAATTTATTTATTGTCTGTTCACAATCAATCTCAAGAAAAACAAAAACTCTTCTTTTAAATTTATGATTTTTTCTAGGACCGAGGTTCCTTTCTGTGTTTTTATCATGGTATCAGACCCTGGCCAATTCTCTATTGGATGGAAACCGATTCCTTCTTCCTAAGAGAGGACCACTTGATCTCAGGAGTCAGGAAAAGGGAAACCATGACAACATGCTCGTAATGGTAGTTTATTACTGTTTTTGTGGTTATGGCTCTGAAATGCCCCTGAAATGGTATACACCCATAATTTGGACTAAGCAAGGCATAACAAGTCAAGACAGGCCAAAGGCTCTCTCTTCATAATTGTTTATATGATCTGAGGGTGATACTGAGGTTAGAGAAAAGAAAGGGCACTTGATTGAAAAATGATGTCCTTCATGTAGGATGCAGTTGCTCCTGACCCATCAGTACCAGGACACGAGCCCTGAGTCACCTTTCTTGAGAGTGAATGGATTTGGGCTGACCCATCCACAATCAACACCCAGTCACCTGTATGACCAACAGAAGGTGCAAATAAGATGGCCACAGAAAGGCAGGACTGGTACCTCATGGAATGCGGGAAAGATCTAAGGCTTACGGTCTGACCCATACATTCCCTCTGTGACATTTTACCTGAAAAAAATAGCCATACTCTCAGAATGTGCTTTACGATTTTAGTTTTTAAAATATCATGAGTAATAAGGACAGCAAAGTCTTGGTTTCCATTAGCAGTTAGCAAGTTTATAGTAAAATGTATAAACAGCCACTGTCACGAATATTTTTGGTCTCATTACGGGCTCTATTCATTCTCACCCTTATTTTCTTAATTCTTCATTCCACTTTTCCCCATGCTATTCTATCATATTTTTGGACTCCGATAATGGCTGTATAAATGAATTCCAGGAAAAGGTAAGATATAAATAAATAATACTCCGACCAGTTTCCTAAAGAGAAAATTATGTATTTAATGCAGAGCAAAAACATTAAAGGAACAAGAAATACTAGTCCTTTTCAGAATTCAAGTAACTTTCATAGGGACTGGAGGTAAACGCATTTTAGAAGATGTTAAATATTCTTTGACAAAAGCATTTTGTGTTAGTGCTTTGAATCTATGAATAAAAGATCCAGAAGACCATATGGGAAGGGGAAGTTCAAAAAGGTAGTACTAGAAAAAATGAAACAAACAGTTCCCTCTGGTATCCCCATAAATTATACAGGAAGCATGATTTCTGTTTAAGCCCAGCCCACAACAGGTGTTCTGACCAGTGAAAGTAGAAATCAGAATAGAGGGGTTTTCTAACATTTCAGTTGACATTTGAAAGAGTGAAAGCAAGTGAGATGAAAACAGCGAAATACAAGATCAGGCTCTCTTTCCTAAGTATTTTGCCATAACTTAGGGTGCTAGTTAGTTAGGCAAAGGGTCAGCCTTGGAATAGATGGGCTACTGCAAACTGTTTGCATCCATGGTCTAATAACTGCTATTGTCTCCCTCACTTCTATTCTTCCAAAAGCCCTCTGAAGGTAAAAACAAAACAAAACAAATGAAAAACATTTTCAAAGATTTAAAATAAGAAAAAGAGCACACACAAATATACTCTTTCTAGAAATGTGTAAAACAATTTAAATCATATATATACATATATTTATTTATTTATTTATTTATTTATTTATTTATTTATTTAGAGAGAGAGCATGTACACAGAGTGAGCAAGAACATGAGCTGGGGGGAGAGGCAGAAGGAGAGGGAGAAGCAGGCTCCCTGCTCAGCAGGGAGCCCAATGTGGGGCTTGATCACAGGACCCTGGGATAATGACACGAGCCAAAGGCAGATGCTTAACTGACTGAGCCACCCAGCCACCCATAAATCTTATATATTTTTTAAAAGAGCTGGCACTGGTAGGGGGTAGGGAAAGGGTCCTGTTTTTCTACTTGCTCTGCATGAGATTGAGCAGAGTGAACATGGGACTAAACTGCAGAGATCTGTAGTAAGATACACTGGCTGGCATCCAAACCCCTTAAAATTTGTCATTATAAATAGCTTTGTTTATGATGCATACAATTTCATTTTTTTACTTTAAAAGATTTAATATGTTTTGAAAAGCCTATGTAAAAATTTACTTAAAAGCAATTTTATCATAAACCCCAATTTTTTTATTAAACATATACTCCCTTGATTATTTATCCTATTTAGACATTCAAAAGCAAATGATTTATTCACATACAATTCTTTATACTCATATAAAGACACTATCAAATTTGGCATATGTCTGAAGAATGCTATTCACTTTCTTTCCATTGATCACCCAATGTAAAGATTTATTTAAAAAATTTTTATAAACAGTAAAGTTTCTTTAATTTCTGAAAAAAAATTTGTTTTCATTGTGTGAGAAGAACAAACATGTTTCTTAAGTTTCTGCTTTGCTTTTTGAAAAAAAATGATGTTTCTCACTGTAACAGCATTTTCAGTTCTTAATTCACAGACAAGCACCATAAATAGCTGTTTTAGTGCTGAAGGAGGAATGAATTCACACGTGAGATAGAGTACAGAGCCAGGATCATCAATAACTGTTCTGGAAAAAAAAATGGACACAAGGATACAGTCAACATTTGGCATAACATATGTTATGTGTCTATGTAGTAAAACTTAGGAAAGTGGTTCTAGAACGCTTTAAAATCTTCTGAAAGCTCTCGTGGATCCCTAATTTGTCACACATCCCCTACCCTAACCTTTTTCCTTCTCTTCTCTGTTTATCCCCCACACACAAGTGCGAAGGGTTTCCAAACTACCAAATGGGGGAATGAAAAAAAAAAAAAGCCTATTAGAACAAATGAAAAGGAATGACAATCATGATAATGGACGGTCAGGGTAAAGTCTCTTAAAACAGCATTCTGGATACAGAATGGGTGATCCATAAACACTGTTCAGTGGTTGAACAGGTACCTTCCACGGCAAACAGACAGGGCAAGTATTTGGGCAAGACTGTGTTAATTCTTAGCTTTAATGGCCACCATTTTTCTTTTGAGAGATATGAATGAAAAGAACAAAAATTGGGTTGCAACCCCACGAAGAAGGGGTTGATCAGCTTTATCTCCCTTTTACTTCCTCCTCCCATTCATGGCCATAACGAGCCAACATCATTGATGGAAAAGGCAGCATGAAGTGTGTGGAGCACTCCATATAGATTCACAGTCTATGCAATTTAAATAGTCTTTATTTAAACTATTGAAGAGAACATCCACCACTCAGATTTTAAGAAATAGAACCATCCTAATTTTATAAAAATGAAACAAATTTTAACCATAATTTCAGTCAGAAAATAAAGAGCTGAATCACTTAGCACTTAATAAACATTTTGTTATACAATATTTAAAACACACACGTATATAGTAAAAAAGAAAACCGTATAATAAATCCCTTATGTATTCATTACCCAGCTTCAAAAAAAGGAACATGCAGTCACATTTCATCTATACCTTCACCTACTATTTTCTCCGAATTACTAGATTATTTTGAAGTCTCAGACATCTTATCACTTCAGTAATAAATACCTGAGATGTACCTATAAATAGATACTTTAAAAAGACCACATTCACAATAACATTATCACACCTAAAATATTAAAAGTAAAATTCTTTTTTAAAAAAAAGATTTTATTTATTTATTTGAGAGAGGGAGAGAGAGAGAGAGAGAGAGAGAGAAGCAGGCTTCCTGCTGAGCAGGGAGCCTGACGTGGGCTCGATCCCAGTACCGTGGGATCATGACCTGAGCCAAAGACAGATGCTTAACCGAATGGGACACCCAGGCTCTCCTAAAAGTAAAATTCTTAATATCAACAAATATCTAGTCAGTATTCAAATTCCCTGTTTTGATTTCAAAAACAGTTGGTTTGTTTGAATCTAACCAAATCAAGGTCCACTCGTTATATTTGGTTGCTAGGTCTCTAAACATCTCTTCCTAATGCCTAGTTTCATTCTCCCTCTCTCTTAATTTTTTTTCTCCTGTTTGAAATTATTTCATTTGCCCAACAGATTGGATCTGACTGACGGCATCAGCACACTGTCCTTTAACATGTTCCCTTGGCTTCGTTATTTCCTAAGACTAGGTATTTATATTTAGATGACTAGCAATTCTGGGGCAAGAATACATCACAAGTGACATCATGTACTCCCACTGCGTCACATCAGGATAATATAATTTCTGACTGTCTCCCATTTTGTAATATTAACATAAGATAGATCAATGGGTTCAGATGCTGTTGATGATTACTGATCTAGATATATTAATTATTTCGTTAGCGGGTGCAAAGTTCACCGAAGTTTTAACTTCTAGATTTATGTACTACTTCTGTCAGTCATATAATTTCTACCTTTGTATTTATGTTCATAGAAATACAATACTGTTTCACTCACTATTTTCAAATAAGTTTTTACTGGGAAGTATTTTATTAATGCCACTGAGAAAACAGATCTAGATCTGTCCTTTGTCCTTCCTAAGCACCTAGGTTCTTGTATCATGGTTGATAATTTCACTTGAATTTTCTCTGTGGCTCAAATAGCCCCACTGATACTGTAACTAAAGGTGGGGGTAGGTCAACCGTTAACTGACTTGCTCTGAAGCAGAGACGACACATCACAGGACACTAGAATAACTGGCTGTTATTTGTTCTTTTCCAATAAAAAAAAAAAGCTAAAAGAAACACACACATATACCCTAAAGACATTCCTCCTTGGATTATAAGAGTCTATTAATGCAAACCAAATGTTATATCTAAACTATGTAACAGTGGTTAAAATGTATAATTATTTAATATAAAAATTTTTTAGCTGTGAAAATCTGTAGCCTACAGGCTTTTCTCCTCCTCAGCTTTAGAGTGTTTTTCCCCCTATTTAATAGTGGAGTAACACGACAGGAGAATAGAAAAATCCATGCACCAAACAGATTAGACTGATTTGTTATTAAATAGATTGTGAAGCCTCAGGGAGGACAGCCATAATAACAATTCAGTCACTACAAGTCTGGCAAACTCGTCGGCTGCCTCCCCTCCCCACCCTGGCAGACATGCCATGTTCAGTTTTAGGACAAGCTGATTAACTGCTGAAATGCACTAATGGATGGCACTCACTTTTCTATTTCCTTTTCCATACATCATTGGTTTAGACCTAGATATAGTAGTAGTTCTCCGAAGGGTTAAAGAAACATCTCATTACTTTCATCAGTCTTTCTGCTCCATGGTCCTTAACCTGCCAAATGGTAATGAGAATGTGAACTTAATACTAACCTCCTTTTATTTCATCATGGAGATTAAAATGAAGATGGAGATTAGATGAAGAAATGGTAAACTTTCCCACCTGAAATAATCAACTTCAGAAAGTACATTAGTGGGAATATGTTTTTCAAGATTGTTTTCTAGAATCTTTAGATTAATATCTACATGACTTCTTTTAATGTGTCTGTGATCAACCAAGAATATAAATGGTAACTACAGCAGTTTCCATAAGGAGAGACAAAACAGTAGTAGTAGAGATGGGGCTGGCGGCTAGGGGTTTTATAATTGTCCTTGTATGTTAAGCACAATTTTATATAGGCTGTGTCTATTTGGAGTGGTAGAGTGGATGTGAGTGGGATGCTTAAGTCTTCTCAAACCATTTATTGACACCCCAGTGGAAAAACCAATAGAATAACACTATCTTTAGGGGGCAATATCATCCTAATAATAAATTCAGGTGTACAGTAATAATTAAAACCAAAGCAAACTAAAACACAAAACACCAGAAAGGAAACACTGTGAACAGTAAAGAAGATAATGGGTATAAAACATCTATTAGCACAGGTGTAGCCCAATGCGGGACTCGATCCAGGGACTCCAGGATCATGACCTGAGCCGAAGGCAGTCGCTTAACCAACTGAGCCACCCAGGCACCCTAATATAAAGTATTTTAACCTAAGGAACTGAGAATCAAAGACACCCAGGTAGAGCCTCCTGGGATAGAGCTAGGACAATGTAATCTGATCAACATGGAGCTCTTCACAAAATTAAAAATAATAAAATATAAACATACATTTTATGCTGTTACTAAGCATATTTGTCATATTGTTAGTTATACAAAATGGTCCCTTCTGCTAGACTGGAAATTTCCAGGCTTTTACATCTTTGTATCTCTACAATAAAGTAAAGGTATACATATTTACTGAGTGAGTTTAGAGAAGACATCATAAATATTTGCAAAAAAATATGTGTGTAAATGCAAAGTCATGAAATGGTATCTGGAAATAGAAAGTAATGTTAGTATCATCTGGGCTCTTACCCTCCCTCAACTGCAGATGTGGATAATGAGGTATCTATTATTATATATCATATAGAGGTTGTATCTTCTATGTACTTGTAATGACACTAAAGGACTTGTATTCTAAAAATAGATTAATATAGTGTACTTTCAGTGCTATGATATACTAAGACCTGTACTATTTTTACATATACATCCCAGAGTTATTTCAGTGCAAAAAAAACTAATGATAGAACCAAAGACAATAAGCCAAATCACTCATTAGAAAAGCGGGCTAAGAGGGGGGAGCCTGGGGGTCTCGGCTGGTTAAGTGTCTAACTCTTGATTTCGACCCAGGTCATGATCTCAGAGTTGTGGGATCGAGCCCCCACTGGGCTGCACGCTCAGCGTGGAGTCTGCTTGTCCCTCTCCCTCTGCTCCTCTCCCTGCTCTCGCTCTCAAATAAAGAAATAAAATCTTAAAAAAAAAAAGAAAAGTGGGCAAAGAATATGAATAGGAAACTCAAATGGATCATAAAGACATGAAAATACTCAATCCCATTAGTCATCAAGAAAATGCAAAGTAAAATGAGATAACATCAGATTGATACAATTTAAAGAGCCTACCTAATCTTAAATGTTGTCCAAAAAAAAAAAAGAGTGAGAGAGAGAGAAAGAAAGACAAAGAGGAGAGACAGACACACATACACCCTGGAACTTTAACACATACTGCTTGAGAGTGTACAAGTGTTGAGATACCTCAGAAAGCAATTCAGGAAGATCTAGAAAAATTGAAAATGTACATTTATTATGACCCAAATATTCTACTTATAATGATGTATTTTCCATAATCTTATATGTGTAAACCAAGAGATAGGTTCAAAAATGTTCAGTGTTGCATTATTTATAGTGGAAAAGTGGAAGGAAAATGTTCTTCAATAAGGAAATGGCCATACAGTTGATCATTCCATGAAATATCTATATAACAGCAGTTAAAAACATAAACTAGATCTACACATACCAACATGGATAGATTCTAAATACTGAGTAGAAAAATACTTAGTGCACAATGATACACACACTATACCATATTGTGTAAGTTAAAAAAGAAACACAAAATATTGGTCAAGGATGTATAATGATATAAAAGCACACAAAGTAAACTGGAAGACTATATACTTGTGGTTAGCTATCAGGAAGAGAGAATGGGGGCAAAGAGGGCTTGAATTGTAAAGAAATTTTAAATAAAACGCCAATATGATGAATTATCAACAATTTTCAGTTCTGGGATGTGAGTACTTGAGTTTTTGTTGTACTATTCTCTGTGCTTCTTAGTACTTCTAACATTTCTTAAGATGAAGATTTAAAAGAATGCAGATAAAACCCAAAGGACAGTAAATACAAGATACATGATTAAAGTAATTGTTAATTCCCATGAAGCAGTAAAGGTAAACTTTTTTTCAGAAAGCATCTTGAAATATACTATGTGGCCTATTTAAATTACTTTATAATCTATCAATACATACACATAGTTCAAAAAGCCTAATGACTAAGAGCGGGGGCTGGTAATGTAATTCCTGTACTGACTGAATAATTTATCACAGCTTCATATTTTGAGAATAGTAATTATAGAATGTGAACTATGAAAAATTACAGAAAATGAAATAATGTTATTTTAATTAAAATGGTGCTTTAAAAGACAATTAAATAATAGCACGATACATATATTTTAGAAGCATGGGCCTCTGAATTTTAAAAAGTATTTTCCTCTTCATTAATTAGAAAATTAATATAGTTGGGCTGCCTCCATATTAAACCAAATACATTAAAATAGTCTCAAGATAATGTGAAACTTTGATGCAAACTATAAACTTGATCTCTTTTTGTGGTTCCTTCTAACCTTATCACCCGCTTAACATTTTTAAATATTCAATTTAAAAACAGGTAATTCATTTTGAAATATTTATTTACTATGATTAAAACATTTTGTTGTATAGTGTTCTGGGTCCATAAAAGACTACTGCTTATGAAAACTACTTGGCTTAAAATCCACATTCTAGGGCGCCTGGGTGGCTCAGTTGGTTAAGCGACTGCCTTCAGCTCAGGTCATGATCCCAGGGTCCTGGGATCGAGTCCCGCATCGGGCTCCCTGCTCTGCGGGGAGCCTGCTTCTCCCTCTCCCACTCCCCCTGCTTGTGTTCCCTCTCTCGCTGTGTCTCTCTCTGTCAAATAAATAAATAAAATCTTTAAAAAAAAAAAATCCACATTCTACATCGTAACATTCTTAGGTTAAAATAGGTTAGCTTAATGGAATTTTGGTTGAATTACCTTGGGCTCACATGCCCTGCAGAAGACCTAGCTTATACAAGTTTAATTCAGATCAGCAGAGATAGTTGCCACGTGGATTTGTATATCCCAGATGAAATTGGCTTGTGACTGGAATGGCAATGAGAAGCGGTAATTAAAATGCCTTCTGGAAGAACTGTGCTTAAGTAAACTGTTCGAGATAAATGACTTCTTTAGAGCTGCAGGTCAGCCACAGACTCATTTATGTATCTTTCAGATGCTGTACTCTTTACTGGGTTTACAATAGGAGTTGCATCATAAAAATTCAGTGTTATGAAATTTGCTCATAAGAGCATCCATTTAATAAATATTCACTGCACAGATCCCCAAGAGAGTTTCTGATAGTTAGATTCAAATATCAAATAGTTTATTCTTCATTTGGTCTGAATTAGAAATGAAATCAGAGCACTTTTATTTGTTTGACCATTAAGACAGACACTAGTGACTGAAGACAATACTTAGGAATGGAAATTGGGTGAACTATATTCTGATGAATATTATAGGACTCCCAAATAGCTTTACCTACTACGCACTAAAGTAACTTAACACAGACAACTAGCTCAGCAGTAGACAGGGATTTACCATAACAGAAAGCAGAGGAGAAAGGAAGAAGGCAAGTTCTTGTGAGGGAGTAGGAGGGTAGGTGGAGAGGCTAAGGAAAACTTCTATCACTCCCTGTGCCTCCCTCTGACACCCAAACTAAGAATGCCTAAAGCAAACCCCTTGGGATCTTCCCTTTTAACACCTAGAGACATAGTAGTATTATTTACAATAGTTAAAAAGTAGAAACAACCCTAATGTCTATTAGCTGGCAAATGAATAAACAAAATGTGGTATATCCATACAATGGAATAATTATTTGGAAACAAAAAGGGATTTAGTACTGATACAACATGGGTGTTACAAACATGGGTGAACCTTGAAAATCATCATGCTCAGTGAAAGAAACCAAGTCACAAAAGGCCATATATTGCCTGATATCATATATAGAAAATGTCCAATGGGCAAATCCACAGAGACAGAAAGTAGATGAACAGTTCTCAGGGGTAATGCGGAGGGGAGAATTGGAAAGGGGTGCTAATAGGTAGAAGGCTTCTTTATAGGGTGATAAAAATGCTCTAAAATGGAACAGTAGTAAGGGTTGAACAAACTCTGTGAATACACTAAAAATATGAATTGTACATTTTAAAAGTATGCATTTTATGGTATGTGAAATATATCTCAATAAAACTATTACTTTAAAAACTCAGGTTTTGCTGGTGAGAGCTCTGGAGGCCAAAGGGACAGAACTTTATATCAAGCATCTTCCTAGTGGTACATTAAATAAGCAATAAACTGTCAAGGCATAAACATTCAATCTTTTCAAAGACTCTTCATTTTTAAAGAATGTATCATTTGAGGAGGTTTACTTCACAATGAGTTAAAAATATTCGCTGAAGAAAAGACTTGAACCATGAAAAAGCCTTTTCTGCTACTGTCAGCCTAAAACACTTTTAGAATTTTTAATAATATCAATGGAAGCCTGATGGGCACTAGCAGATGACCCCATAAAGTGTAAAAAAATATCTGAATGGCAGTGGAGAATCAAATCTTTTCATTAAAAAATAACAGTTCTTTTCTTAAGTGTCGATAAGAAGACTATTTGTCAAGATTGTATGACCTTTTTGAAACCATAAAGAATTCTATTTTAGCAGGGCTTTAAACTAACTGAAAGGGAGAGAGAATCTTGGGAAGAGTTTGAAGTTATTTAATTTCAATATTGCCACCCATTCTCCCCCTCATTCAGTTGATATGGACAGGATTTTTCTCAGTCTAGAGTAACTTCCTAACATCAGTAGTAGTCAAAGGACAGACAATGTGAAGGGACCAACTGTTTCCAAATGGGGTCATCAAAGTTTAAGACAATGTATAAAAATCAAAATGAAAACTTAAATCTGTACTTTGATTCCAAAAGTTGCCATTAATGTTTCCTACAATTATTAAAAGGTCCATTTTTTAAGAACCTTTTTTTTTTTTGACTTCAATATAAATGAAAACTTAAGTGTTCCATTTTAATAAGTGGACAAACTATGATTTACAAGATAAAATTCGTGGAACCAACTTATGTACCCTAAAGAAAGAAACTTTTTCTTTCACCGTCTACAACTTGTCGAGAAGTAACTTTGTTTCTGGACAATGAATGGCAAGATTCCAAGTCTGCAATCAGGGATAGTTTTGGAATTCTGTACAGTAAAATCTCAGAAATAGTTTCTTGAAGTCAAAGCTGATCATATTTTCATTTACTGACTTTTCAATTCCAACTCCATTTTCTTCTCCTTGCACAGTTTTATTACCCAACAAGTTGAACCACTTGTGCAATTTCTCTGCTTACATGAAACACGAAGCATAGGCCACACCTTGGATACTTGAAGGCTGAATCTGCCTTAGACTATTTCCTCCCCTGGCCAAGTCTTCCTCCCACGCTGTGCCGCCTGCCACTGGAAGGCTGTAATGATCTCTAACCGCTGCTGAATTAGCAGCCCTAGGTCACTGGTTCAGCCTCAAGGCTTTTTTTTTTTTTTTTAAAGATTTTATTTATTTATTGGAGAGAGAGAGAGAGAAAGCACAGAGGGAGAGTGTGAGGCAGAAGCAGGCTCCCCGCTGAGCACAGAGCCCCATGCAGGGCTCAATCCCAGGACCCTGGGATCATGACCTGAGCTGAAGGCAGACGCTTAACTGAGTCACCCAGGCGCCCCTCAGCCTCAAGTTTTTTGTCCCACTGGGAATTCCTCAGGCAAGTGGGAGCCATTAAAAGTTAGGCCTGACATGTCAAAGTGGGATTTTAGGAACAAGACACAAGGTTAGCCAGGGGGAATGACCTCAAACTTAAAAAAAATAAATTGAAGAGAATGAAATGCAGCAAACACTTAAAAGTGGTTGACTCTTTTTTGGGGTTAGTGGCAATGTTCTTTGTGGTGGTGGTTATACAACCACATATCAAAAATCTCAAAAATCATAAAACTGTATGTTACAAAGGGTGAATTTTACTCTAAGTAAATTACACTTCAATAAGCGTGACTTGAAAATAAAATGGTTGTCTCTGAATGGTAGAATTATGGGTTTTACTCTATACTTTTTTGAATTTTACAAGTTGTCTGAAATGAGCATTATTTAACTCCACAGTCAGTAAAAAAACAAAATAAAACCAAAACCCCAAAACAGAGGAAGAATACTGCTCTGGCCACCCCTGCCCCTTCCTTTGCCCTTGGGAGCGGAGGTGGGCAGGGGAAATCCTGGGGTGAGGAGCTGGGCCCCTCACTGTGGGCTACCGGGACCTTTTACTGTCATCTTATCCAGTGAAATCTAACCTAGACTAATGTCAGAAAGAAACCCCATTGATGATGCTGCGAGGAGAAAAAGAATAAATTCCATGCTCATCAAAATTTGAATTTGAAGGTTGTTGCTTAGCCCATGGGAGGCAAGAGGTTGAAAGAGCAAACTTCCCTCTGAGTTAACTGTGCTGAGATTCTCCTGAGATGAGCTGTACACACCTCAGCATCCCATGAGGGCCATGTCCCTTGTTAGGGCACACACACCAGGTAGCTGCACAGTGACCTGTAACACAGGACACCCGTTGTTACCCGTGACTATAAAAAGCGTGGCAGATAGAAATAGTCATCGTGGCATGCTGCCTGATTGGAGGACCTGAAATTAACCCATCCATCTGATGATATGCTAAATATCATCTTTGAGTCAAACTAGACTGTCAGATTTAGCCTCCTGAAGAATTACTTCCAGGTAAGGTGCTATTCTATCTATTTATAGCGCATTTAGCAGTATAAGAAAGAAACCTATGAGCCTGATTTCATATAGAGAGAGACGACCAAGGATGCTGTTTGCCACATCACAAAGTGGTCTCTCAGTGGCGACTCACAGGAGAAAGCACTCAAGTCTTGGCCCCAGGAATGGCAGATTATCCTGAGCAACCTGGTTTGGTTTTATCCAACAGACATTTTGAATATAATTCATTCGTGTTTCTCTCTTTAGGATGGGTACTAGGTCACTCAGAGCCAAAGTGGCTCCCTACTTTTAGCAAATGCAGGGAATGTTAGCAACATACACGTTTATACTATTTCACCTCGGTTTCATTTTATTTTTCTAATCATTATCTTCCATGTGCTCTCATTTCCTCATTCCATTTTTGAGTTTTGTATTTTTAAAAGATGTTTCAAAAACTTTTGGAATGAGGCAAAATATTAAATATATACATATTAAAAATATTAAATATATAGTATACTCAAAACAAATGAAGAAAAGTGGTGTCTTCTCTATCAACTGATCCCATAGCCCACTTTAAATGAAGTGAATATTAAATATATAAAGAACTATACTGTGGTCATTATAAATGGAGAAAAGTTGTGGTTTCCTTATTAAGTATTTCCATAGCCTACCTTCAATGAGGGGAAATATTAAATACATAGGTAACTACAGTATATTTGGCACAAAGCAGACAGGCTGTAACTTCTCTATTAACTAATCTCATAACTCACTTTCAGGCTTTTTGAAGTCACAATGATTATTTTTGGCTTAACATTATCATCTTAGGATATAAGCACCATCAATTCCAGATTAAGGATCATTATATGTTGATATTGCTTGGGTTATTACTGCTCTTTTGGAGTAAATAAAGCAAATGAGAAATTGTATCAGAAATGGGGTTATTAACCTTGTTTAGAACTAAATTTCCAAGGAGGCATTAATAAAGAAACTAAGCAATTAATCATTAAGATTTTAAAATGATTTTTAATGATTTCTGTTTTTTAAGTTCTCAACAAGGCATACCACAAATAAACTGCCAATGGCAGTTCACTTTTCAGGGCACTGTTCCTAAATAAAAATAAGGAGAGGCTCAGTTTCTCCACCTAGAAAATGAGAACATCTCATGGCATGGGTTAAAAACTCATCATTGGTACTACAAGTGTGAGGGAACCCAACTGCTCAGTTTTAGAGCCACTCCTTTGGGAGAGGGCTCCATGGTATATTATTCAGCACAATAAAAGAATACTAAATAAGACCTCATGCCACTGCCTCCTTCTTCTTACTCACAGGGTAAGGCCAATAACAGCAAATGCTTTGAACAACAGAAAAAGTAAAGAAAAATATACTTTTCATTTCCCTTTGCGTTATTATAACACCATCTTTGGACTAGGAAACCTAAGAAAATCTTACAGGTCCCCTTACCAACTCTGGTGCAGGATCTAAATAAAACAATATGAAAGATAACTAGTTATCAAATCCCCTTTTTTGCTGGTTAAACTCAATTCATGTAAGAACGACCTGAATCCAAAGGAAGCTTCATGGCCATAAACAGTGGTCCCACTTTTAATTTCCTTTGAGCACATCAGCAATGGCTGACAAGAAAGAGGCCTTGGGTCTGATAGCTAATTTCTGTTCTTCTTTATCTTTATATTCTTTTTCTGAGAGTGACAGTTGGTGGAGACTGGAAGACACAGAGGGGTCTCTCAAGTGACAAAAACCTATGCTCCCTTCACTGACATTGCTTTCTAACGGGCTCCTTGCTAGTGTGGAAAGCGGGTGGTCACAAGAGCACAGTAAGTGTGTCAATGGTCTTCTTGCGGCCCACCGAAAAGCACACTGAAAGAGGGTAGATATGAGAAAGGACGGGCAGCAACCCACAGGTGCCAAGTAGATAACCTCATGGTGGAGCACCCTTACTTGATAAGCTTAAAACACATGAGGCTTTGCTGAGGTTCATGATTCGTCCAATGAACATGCATCTGGATGCCTGCCTGCTGAGCACCAGGCACTGTGCCAGGGCTGTGGGGGTGGGGTGGGCCTTACCACCTCATAGAGAGTTGACAAAGGCACAAACAGCTATGAGCTCAGATGAAGAGAGATCACCTTCACAGAGAAACTTGGGGAAGGCTGTAAGGAAGGGTTAGCATTATGTTGGGGGCATCAAGAATACATGAGAATCCAATGTGAGATGTGAGTAGGACAATCAAAATGGATCATTTATGATTCTAATCAGTGTTCACTGAATGTCAAAACCAGCCTTTCTCATAACCCTAAGATTCCAAAATAGATTTCCTGGCCTGCTGCCTGGTCTCTTTTCATTCTGACCTATGCACTACACTACCAGGACAACTACCTCCAAAAACAACTTTCCTTTTTTTTTAAAGATTTTATTTATTTATTTGACAGAGAGAGACACAGCGAGAGAGGGAACACAAGCAGGGGGAGTGGGAGCAGGAGAAGCAGGCTTCCCGCAGAGCAGGGAGCCCGATGTGGGGCTCAATCCCAGGACCCCGGGATCATGACCCAAGCCGAAGGCAGATGCTTAACGACTGAGCCACCCAGGTGCCCCAAAAACAACTTTCAACAGGTCTCCTTTAAGACCTAATGAAGGTTACTTATCATCACCTTGGTTCCCAGTTCTCAATCAGATGCCAGCTTTACCCTTCCAACCTCATAAGTCATTAGGCCCTTTTAGGACACATCCTTGCTGCTCCAATACAAACACAGTGGGGAATCCTATATACCTCTGTGCATGCTTTCCCCCTTTCTCTGGTCAACCCAACTTCTCCTTCTGCAGAATCCATTCATTCACCCAAAAGTCACTGACGGAGCCCAGTGACATGCCACACACCACACTAGGCACTGAGATCAAGAGACAAAACACCAAAATCACTCAGAGTAAATATTATAACATGTATTTTTACTAACATTTTAAACAAACCTATGGAATTAGCTAATTCAACTATGTAACCTTGAAATTATTTAATATTTTAAAACTTACAGTGCAGAAAATAATCTAAGAGCCATGCACATATCAACCACCCTCCTCATTTAGACAAATGTTAATATCGTGTCATGTTTGCTCTAGATGTCAAATTTTAAATAACATAGATTTGGCTAAGGTCTAATTTCTGATAGCTTCCTCCTCCCTTCCTTCCTAGAGGTACCACTATCTTAAACTGGTGTCATTCCAAAATATTTTTTATACTTTTACTACACATACATACATTCATGAACAATATAGAACACTGCTTAAATATTATATAGTGCTGCTGCATATACTTTTAATATGTTCATAGTGATATCCTCCTACATCTATTCTTCTACAATTTGTGGTTTTCACTCAGAAGTCTGTTTTGCAAAGATGTTCATGTTCATATATGTAAAGTAATTACTTCATTTTAACTGTTCTTGAGTCCACTTATCCACAGTTTCTCATTTCCATCCTGATAATTATGTTCTTTCTCATATCTTACTTTTGCAAATAATGCTATAATGAACATCCTCGTACCTGCCATATTGTGCACACCTGTCATACTTTCTCCAAGGACAGCATGTTCTTCAAGTTCTAAATCGTACCCTTCTTCCAGTTGATTCTCACTCATTGTTGAGTGTTTCTGACTCAAGTTTTAAAATATCTGATTGTGAGCTCATCTTTAGTGATGCCAGTTTCTCAGCTGGTGATTCTGAACAACGTGAAGAATTACATTTGGGCTCCAAATCCACATGTGGTACAAGCTTGGGAAGTTACCATGGGTGCAGCCCTTTGAGGGTCATAGCTTAATACAGCAATCTTAAGCACACATGTACCATCTTGAACATATACAAGGCCTCATTCTTGGGTCCCTGTATGGGTATTAATTCTAAGACTCTAGTGCGTTTGGAGGGGATGGGTTGACTGTCCCTAGATCTCCTGCAGAGGCAGCTCAAATGCTTCTGGCTCTGGCTTTCAGTTTCTTTCCTATTTCTACTACCTTGGGATTTTCCTTTCTATTTTGCCATTTTCTCACTGTATTGACTTGCTTTATTGATACATCAAGTATTTCTACAGGTTTATCAAGAGAATTTCTATGTTAGTTTAATTAGCTAAATTGCCAGAATAAAAGTCCTAACTGAATTCGTTAAATGTTGAATTAAATTTTCTATGTATAAAATTATGTATTTTTAAATCTGTGGGTCTATGTCTTTGGAAATATATACAATACCATATTATTGAGTTTGTGAATTGTTCTTTTTGGTGCTAAAGGTACAGATAACTTTTTAAAAATATTGAATAATTCTACTGAATAGAATTAAAATTATTTTTAACAATTTTAACTTCCTTTATAAATTATTTCATTGACTAACTACAAAACCAGAGTTAGAAATATTTGATTTACAATTTTACTCCTTGCGTATAATTTCCCTTCCTAAAAAAAAAAAAACCCAAAACCGCCTGGATAACTAAAAAATGATCACATAATTTAATATTTATGTTTTAAAAGTTTTATTAATCTTATTTGTATACTTTATGCCTTACTAAACATACCAATATGCACAACTCTTAAGGGTCAGAGATGAAAAAATTCACGAGAACACAGCTTATCAGCCTAATATTCTTAAATCCATAGCAACAATTAGCCAGAACGGAGGAACTACAGACAGCACTGTATTCACTAAGAAGGCTTTCTTGGCTAAGAGTAATAGATGATACTGACAAGTGGAACAATAACTATGTTAGAAATAACTAAAGAGACAAGTTACTGTTGGTACATACGTACATAGGAGTAAAGAAACCAAGCTTCAAATTGCAAGCAATAGAAGTTATTTTATGGTAGGCTTTATTAGAATATGTAATTAACAAGAAAGAAATCCACAAATAGGGTAAGTAGTGATTTCACCATTTGGTGCTTATGGCACTAATTTTTTATAATAATGATATTTTTAAATAGCTTAAGAGGCTATTTAAACACAAAACAATAATTCTGATTAAACATGGCTTTTTTTCAGTAATATATTGGTTTTCAACTTATTATGTGAATACACTAAATTATTTCATCTAGTAATTATTTTGTATGGTAGTTTTACAGAGTTCTAGAAAAACTCAAGGTCAACTGAAGACATGTTTAAAAGCTACTTAAATGTTATCATTTAGAAATATTTCTTAGTTAAAAAAAATCAATATCAGGTTTTCAAAGTCAATTAGCTTTGCCAAATAATTAGTAATTAACTGTGAAAAACATCCATTAACTGTGTCTACATATGAGAAATCAAACTTTTAAAGGTAGCGTACAGAAACTTACCAATGCCATATAAAACACTTCAAGCACAGGACTGAAGGATAATCAATATTGCAAGAGGCTTCCCAAATTAGAATAAATTGACAGTTTTGGTGTCCAATTCAGAAAGGCAAGTTAATAATGACAACACTAAGAGAATCATTTGCTGCATCCAGGACAACTTAATAAGGCATGGAACTTGAAGGCATGTAAAAAGAGAGCCGTTGGCCCTGTACCTGGTGCTGGCGATACTTGGGGATTCTGCTCCAAGCCTACATCTCTCTAGCTGACTGGCAACAATCTGCCTTTCCACTTCCAGTTCTCGGGTGAGTCGTTGAAACTGAAGCTCCTGTGATTCAAGGAAATAAAAGGCATATAAGGTGCCAAGACAGATATATATGTGAATGCATGTCACAGGAAACACAGGAACATACCCACAACATAGCACTGTATCTAGTGTGGCTTTGTGAAATTAAAAAGTTTTGGGTGGAATTGTGGGCCTAGAGAACCTACTGATTTGTACTTTTTTCAAACCGAAAGGCACCAGAATATTAGCTTTGTTTGGAATGGGAAACGTAGATATTTATTTGCTTTTCTGTCTGTTCTTCTAATTGAGGTTTGCAAACAGTACTTCTGCTACAGTGCTCTATTAAATATAAGGTCTGCAGAGTCCTTGATGTGTCTACATCAGGTGCCCACCAACCCATGTAAGCTCTACAGCCTTAAGAGCTAATTTTTTTTATCCTTCATACTGTATTGAAAAAATGTAAATTCCCATGATGAGCATCACTTTATCATGTTTGATAGAGCCTTTAATTGTTAAGGAAAAATAAATCATTCCAACTCTACAGAAAAAGTCTTGCTATGTTTATCTACAATATAAGCAATAAAATTTTTTCTATTGTTATGAAATAACATGTTCATTGTTCATGTGTCACTGTGTGAAGGGAAGAAAAAAATAAAAGTCTGAGCCATAACATAGAATTTAAAATTGTATTTAAAAGCTGGGAATATTGTTTAAAGAAATGATCTTATTCATTGTATGTCGCATTATGAAAGCAAGGAAGTTCTATCAAAGGAGAAGATGCTTTAACTTCATTTGTACTTATCTCATTGTTACCTTGACAAGATTCTAATTAATAGGAAGGATGCTATGCTATAAACCATCTATAGATCAAATCAAGTATACTCCAAAGGCTTTAAGCCACAAATAACACCTCAAGCTCCCCTGTGCCATATTATCTCCTTGCAAGTCTACTCAAAGCAAATGCCGAACTGTAAGTAGTTTAACTGGACAATGACCGCTAGCTCAAAATACTAGTCTATGAACCCTAAACCTAGAAACTAATCAGAAATAAAACTACCTTAAAAATTATTTATGACAATACATACATATTTGTTTGCCATGCAAAAACTTAGAACAATTTAATTGAAGTGTATTAGCTCCCTGTGGAATCAGGCAAACATGCTATTACTGACAGCGCAGGCTTTGTAAATTCTCCAAACTATTCTCAGAATAATTTTTAAGATACAGTCCCTGAACTCCTTACTGCTTTCTGATACTGAGAATACTTTTCTAATGAGTCCAGCTTGTGTGGGTATATAGGGCATGGCCTGAATGAATAATACTTGGCTCAAAAATGTTGTACAATAGGATCAAAGTGGGATGCTTCCTACCTCTGCTGAACATTTCCTAGACCTCTGTTCTTAATAAATGTTTAGCAACAAAAGACCAGAGAGATAATAACTGTACAACATTCAGTATCAGGCTAAGATAATTGATTTTAAGGGCAAATAGTCTTATGCTTATCTCACATTTGGTCTTACTTTGCCCTTAAACAACATCCAATTTCTTGTGACACACTTCCATTCTTTCAATTTTACTCAACTGTTTGTTATACACTCTTATCCCAGAAGACTGGCTGCTTGTATCAAGTTGGGCCAGAAAAGGACCATCTGTGAATACAAAAATATTCTCAGAGCCATCACACTACCTTTGTGTTCTGAGTTCAGTGAGTACTAGGGATGGAGCGCTGCTGTGTTTTCTTCACTTGGGATGGCCAAACGTTACCACGGTAGGATTAAAGTATGTTTCAAATTAGAACAGAAAAAAATTTTCATTCATACAAAAAAATTCCATTTCAGTGGATTTTTATCATGTTGGTGGCTGCCTATGACATTTTGAGCATTCTTTCAAGGGAATGGTTGGGAAATTTCCCACTTGAAGGCAGAAGTTGGAACTTACTGTCCCATAATTCCTTCCCTCAGAGGCAGAGATACGGTGACTGGCTCTGCCAAGAAGATGTCAGACTGTGACTCAGGTGCTAAAACTAAGACTCTGACATCAGAAAACACGAAGCTTATTTTCTTTCACCTTCTTGCTGCAATCCCTGCAACAGGCATCAGGGTTAAATTCCTAATACAGAAATGACCTCCACACAAACTGCTATGTTGACGCTTAGTGGCAGCATTGGTGGTTTCTTTATCTACCCAATTTTGTGGTGTTTCTGGAAGTTGAACCTCAAATCTTGTTCTCCAGCCCTTGCTACAAACATGGGAATTCACAAATACTTGCTTAATAATGCCTTTTTCTACATAACTAGCCATGTCAGTCTCTGTTTCTTACAACTAGAAATTTTGACTGAAGCACCTATAGAAACCATTGATAGCAGTCGAGTTGCTAGGAGAATCAATGTACCCATGATGTAGCTACATTTTTCATTTAAAAATTGGGTAATTACTTCAACATTCATACAGACTGATAAAGTCCGCATTATATCACTACTGGCCATGGACCTAAAATACTGAACATCACCAGCTACTTTTATCAAAATAATTCTGCCCATTATTTGCTCACACTTCTCATAAGCAGGATGTCATTAAAGCACTGAAAGCAGAATATCAGGAAGATATAAAGCAGGGAATTTGTAAAGGTTACCTAATACCTGTGAATATTTATAAGGAAAACATATGTATACTTTGTTGCAAAATCATAAATATTATACCTACAAAACATAACTGGAACACCCATATGGGACTAGCACCAAGATGGGTGAGCAGGATATAAATATTTGACAAATCTGTCTCTACCAGCTTCTTAGACTGCCTGATGAGGAAGACAGTATTACATGGTCATATAAAAACACACCTAATCGTTTCTAAAATAACGCTCATTAAGATGATTACACAGAGATACCACCTATAAATTTAAAATTTGTATTTTACCACACACTCTGGTTTAACCTTACATTGTAAAGGCGAATCCTTAAATCAGCATCCAAAACTGGTCATCTAAATTATAAGGGGACCCTATATTTGTTCTCCTTTGCGAAAACATGGAAAATAATGTTAAAAGATTTGCCAATAATTTAGCATATGACAATTTCCTCTTAAATTCTGGCATACAAGACCATAAACAAGCTTAGAGAGAAAGTCAAGGCTACTAATATGCTATAAAATGGAGTCTGTTCACGTGTGTTTGAAAGCTTTTTTTTATGTTTACCTCATCTCTCTCAGGTAAATACACTGATAAATATTCTCTGACAGTGAGCCAAAGGAACAGAAGAAAAAAAACTTCATTTTCATGCTTTGTATGGTGGACAGAGCTGGGCAGGAAGCCCAAGGAAGGACTTGCTGCCCACTTATCAGCCACCTCAGGGGCGCCTCAGCTGCAGAGAACCGCCTGGCTCAAGGGCATGCCCTCTGGGCAGGTTGCAGCCAGCCACTGATTGAGGTAGGTGTACAAAGGCAGGGCCCAGATTTGCTCCAGAGCTCCCTGTGGGCTGGGCCAGCCTGCAGAGTGTTTGAACTTCTCCTCTACTCAATCCTGCTTTTCCTTCCCCTCTCCTCCACAAGTGTCTATCTGTAATAAATACTCTGCACCCAAAATTCCACCTCACCCAACCTAAGTACTGTTTTTTGGCCTCCTTTTATATAAAGAGAGAAATTTTCTCTCTTGATTTTTAAATACCATGAGATACTTCGAATGCACAGAAAAAG